CGATTTGAATATAGTCACTTTTGGTATTTTTTTGGAAAAATTTTTACAATTAAATTGTCGTTTTCCTCGGTTTCTTGAAGGTTTATCCTAAAACCACTTTCAGATTCACAATCAACGTTGAATTCTTTATATGATTCTACTTTTTGATCTTAAAATAAAGCCATTTTAAGATTTTTTGAAAAAATTTTGACAATTAGATTCTCATTTTTCTCGATTATTTGAGGATCTATCCTAAAAGTAGTTTCAGATTCATGATCTACCTCGAATTCTTTCTATGATACTGCTTTTTCCACACAAATAGAGCCATTTTTTGAATTTTTTGAAAAAAATTTTGAAAATTAAATTATCGTTTTTTGCAGTTACTTGAAGCCTTATCCTACAAATGACTTTATAATCATAATTTAACTAGAATTTCCTATATTTTGTCACCTTTTTGCTGGAAAAACCATTTTTAACACTTTTTTTAATTCGTCTTTTTTTCGATATGAATAAAGCCACTTAATATTTTTTTGGAAAAATGTCAACCGATGCCTTTTTTTTGGAAACTTTTCGTCAATTAGATTATCATTTTTCTCGGTTATTTAAAGAACTATGCTAAAAGTAGCTTCAAGTTCGTGATCTACGTCAATTTTTGGAAGTTTTGAGAAATTTTTGAAAATCATCTTGTCTTTCACAGTCATTTGAAAAGTTGTTCCAAAGTAGTTTCAGATTCATGATCTACCTCGAATTCTTTGTATGATATTGCTTTTTCCACACAAAGAGAGCCGTTTTTTAAATTTTTTGAAAAAAATTTTGACAATTAAATTCTCGTTTTTGCAGTTACTTGAAGCCTTTTCCTACACATGACTTTATAATTATAATTTAACTAGAATTTCCTATAATTTGTCACCTTTTTGCCAGAAAACCAACTTTTAACATTTTTTTGAATTCGGGTTTTTTTCGATATGAATTAAGCCACTTAAAATTTTTTTTGGAAAAATGTCAACCGATGCCTTTTTTTTGGAAACTTTTCGTCAATTAGATTCTCATTTTTCTCGGTTATTTAAAGAACTATGCTAAAAGTAGCTTCAAGTTCGTGATCTACGTCAATTTTTGGAAGTTTTGAGAAATTTTTGAAAATTATCTTCTTGTCTTTCACAGTCATTTGAAGAGTTGTTCAAAAGTAGTTTCAGATTCATGATCTACCTCGAATTCTTTGTACGATATTGCTTTTTCCACAGAAATAGAACCACTTTTTAAATTTTTTGAAAAAAAAATTTGAAAATTAAATCCTCGTTTTTTGCAATTACCTGAAGCCTTATCCTAAAAAGGACTTTGTAATCATGATTTAACTAGAATTTCCTATATTTTGTCACCTTTTAGCCAGAAAAAACATTTTTTAAAATTATTTTGAATTCGGCTTTTTTTCGATATGAATAAAGCCACTTAATATTTTTTTGAAAAAATATCAACCGATGCATTTTTTGGAAACTTTTCGTCAATTAGATTCTCATTTTTCTCGGTTATTTAAAGAACTTTGCTAAAAGTAGCTTCAAGTTCATCATCTACGTCAATTTTTAGAATTTTTTGAGAAATTTTTGAAAATTATCTTCTCGTCTTTCACAGTTATTTGAAGATTTGTCCCAAAAAGAATTTCTTCAGTGTTGAATTTTGCATGTGATAGTCCGTTTTTCGATTTGAATATAGTCACTTTTGGTTTTTTTTTTTGGAAACATTTTGACAATTAAATTCTCATTTTTCTCGGTTTCTTGAAGGTCTATCCTAAAAGCACTTTCAGATTCATAATCAACGTTGAATCCTTTAATATGATACTTTTTCATTACAAAATAGAGCCATTTTTAGATTTTTTGAAAAAATGTTGGCAATTAATTCTAATTTTTCTCGGTTATTTGAGGATCTATCCTAAAACTAGTTTCAGATTCATAATGTTCCTCGAATTCTTTGTATGATACTGCTTTTTCCACACAAATAGAGCCATTTTTTGATTTTTTTGAAAAAAAATTTGAAAATTAAATTCTCGTTTTTTGCAGTTACTGAAAGCCTTGTCCTAAAAAGGACTTTATTTATAATTATAATTTAACTAGAATTTCCTCTTTTGTCACGTTTTTGCCAGAAAAAAAACAATTTTTAACATTTTTTTTGAAATTGTTTTTTTTCGATATGAATGAAACCACTTAAGATTTTTTTGGAAAATTGTCGTCTATTAGATTCTCATTTTTTTCCGTTGTTTAAAGAACTATTCTAAAAGTAGCTTCAAGTTCATCATCTATATCAATTTTTGAAATTTTTTGAGAAATTTTTGAAAATTATCTTCTCGTCTTTCACAGTTATTTGAAGAGTTGTCCCAAAAAGAATTTCTTCTGTGCTGAATTTTGCATATGACAGTCCGTTTTTCGATTTGAATATAGTCATTTTTGGTACTTTTTTGGAAAAATTTTAGCAATTAAATTCTCATTTTTCTCGGTTTCTTGAAGATCTGTCCTAAAAGCACTTTCAGATTCATAATTAACGTTGAATTCTTTATATGATAATACTTTATCAACTCAATTTAAAGCCATTTTTAGATTTTTTGAAAAAATTTTGACAATTAATTCGAATTTTTTTCGGTTACTTGAGGATCTATCCTAAAAGTAGTTTCAAATTCATGATCTACCTCGAATTCTTTGTATGATACTGCTTTTTCCACACAAATAGAGCCAATTTTTGAATATTTTGAAAACAATTTTGAAAATGAAATTCTCGTTTTTTGCAGTTCCTTGAAGCCTTACCCTAAAAAGGACTTTATAATCATAATTTAACTAGAATTTCCTATATTTTGTCACGTTTTTGCTAGAAAAAAACAATTTCTAACATTTTTTTGAATTCGGTTTTTTTCAATATGAATAAAGCCACTTAATGTTTTTTTTTGGAAAAATGTCAACGGATGCTGTTTTTTTTTTTGGAAAATTTTCGTCAGATTCTCATTTTTCTCGGCTATTTAAAGAACTATCCTAAAAGTAGCTTCAAGTTCATCATTTACGTCAATTTTAAGAATTTTTTGAGAAATTTTTGAAAATTATCTTCTCATCTTTCACAGTTATTTGAAGCGTTGTCCCAAAAAGAATTTCTACAGTGTTGAATTTTGCATATGATAGTCCGTTTTTCAATTTGAATATAGCCAATTTTGGATTTTTTTTTTTGTAAAAATTGTGACAATTAAATTTTCGTTCTTCTCGGGGTCTTGAAGGTCTATCCTAAAAGCAGTTTCAGATTCATAATCTACCTCGACATCTTTGTATGAGACTGCCTTTTCCACACAAATAGAGCCATTTTTTGAATTTTTTGAAATAAATTTTGAAAATTAAATTCTCGTTTTTCGCAGTTCCTTGAAGCGTTAACCTAAAAAGGACTTTATAATCTCAATTTAAACAGAATTTCCTATGTTTTGTCACTTTTTTGTCAGAAAAAACAATTTTCTACAATTTTTTAATTCGTTGTTTTTCGATAGGAATATGTTTTCTTGGAAAATTTTTGTCAAATAAATTCTCATTTTTCTCGGTTATTTGAAGATCTATCCTAAAAGTAGTAGCTTCAGATTCATCATCTACATCAATTTGCTGATTTTTCCACCCATATAACGCGATTTTTTAGAATTTTTTGAAAAATTCTAAAAATTCTTGTCATTTGAAGAGTTGTCCCAAAAAGGATTTCATATTCATAATTTATGTGGACTCTGTATTTTAGCACTTTTTTGACTTTTTTTTAATTTGGATTTTTTTCTAGAAGCTGATTGTCATTTTTCTGGATTATTCAAAGAATTAACGAAAAAAGAATTTCATTTTTTTTATTTACGTCCAATTTTCGACAGAATCTTCGTTTGAATACAACCACTTTTGTTTTTGGAAAACTTTTGTCAATTACATTCAGAATTTTTCTTGGTTATATGATACTGTTTTTTCCATCCAAATGAACCCACTTTTTAGACTTTTTTAAAAATAAAATAATTTTGACAATTTTTCGAATTTGTTTTTTTTTTACAGTTATCTCTAAAAGAACATTCATAATTTACGTTGGATTTTGTACATTTTATCAAATTTTGGTCAAATTAAGTGACTAGATTCTCATTTTTCTCAATTATTTGAACAGTTATCAAGAAAATGTTTGAAAAAAAATTCTCATTTTTCTTGATACTTTGAAGAACCGTCTCAAAAGCAACTTCACATTCATGATATGATGTCACTTTCTTCTAGATTACGAATCTGAAATCACTTTTTAAAAATAAAATTGAAAGGAGGACGTGTAATCACGTAAAGAATTCAACTTAGATGACGAAATTGAAATCCTTGTTCTTTTTGACAAGCCTTCAAATAACACAAACATGAGAATTCCTTACCAAAAATTTTCAAAAAAATGTTGACCCGAAAAAGGTGCCACTACTAATACAAAATTTGCGCGTCTTTTTGACGAAGTCTACCGAACTATATTTTTACAGTTAATAGTTTTCTATCATTTGTATACGACGCCGTTTCTTATGACATCAGCTATAAAATGAAAATTCCTGTTTCAAAATAAGTCTAATGATCACATTAAAACCCGCGAGGTCGTCCGGAAAAAAACGAGGAAACGAAATCGATATTTGTCACTTTTCCAAAATAAAATTTATCTCCTCGTCGACGCACTTTACAATAGGTACGACGTTCACCTTGGATTAATGAAAATCGTCGATTAATAATGTTATTTACCTTACGCGCGCAACCGGTTTGCGGCACATTTCCCAAAAAAATGTCACATTTTGCGCTCCACTTGTCGTTCGGCAAAAAACCGCCTAGCATCTTATTTCCGAGCAGACGCAAAACAAATTAAAAAATTTGCATCGAAACTGGGTTTCGGATTTTGGCCAAAGGCTAAGACCACTTTTCCACGAACATTCGTGAGTCGTTGACGGTAATTCCAACACATCAAGACTAATTTCGGCGTTTTCGGGGAAGCGGCAAAAACGCCACTTTTTCCAGTGTACTTACGTCTAGAGTCGAATTATGGTGGTTTTGAATGGTTTCAACGGTTTGGAGTCTGCGTCCATTAGAGCGGTTTCAAGTTACGAAATGCGACCTGGCCTCTACCTGAAATAAGAAGGAAAAGAAAATTAACGCTTGAGAAATACTAGAGATTGCTGCTCGAATGTCAATGAGGTCTTAATTACGAGCGGTTTTTTTTAAGAAAAGTTTCTACGCAACGAGGCAAAATGGAGTGGGTTTGTGGCACCTGATGGTTGGGAGTTTTTTCGTGGAGTAATTGTTGAGGCGGCCTTGACACACAAGGTTCGCCGAAGACCGAACTGTGATAAACTTGGCAATGACGACTGGGAAACCATTGTAACCCATGTTTTTCTTTAGTCGGTGTTCGTTTATAACAAAGGCGTTTAAAATACAGAAAAATATTGTCACGGCAGACCTCTGAAACAATAGATCTGTTTGATAATGATGTGTTTGTACTGTCGGCCTTGTTGAGTTCCGCTTTTGTTGTAAAAATAGAGCAGTACCATATGCGCTGAAACTGGGGCACAGTGAAAAAAAGTACCGAGTTTGTTTGGTTTGCTAATGAGGAGATAACGTTTAAGGAATTTTTGCGATTTTAGCGCATTTTTTTCTGTCAGTAGTGGGCGGGGTTTTTATATTTTTTTAGTGTCATCTCAGAACTGGTATAGATCTGAGTAAGCCAATTTTGTGTAAAAATTTTTAATTTTCGTAGATTCCAGGTTAAAATCATCTACTTAATATCTGCTGCTTAATATTGGACAACACCCTGTATTCCGTACCATGGTTGCATTTTTTTTAATGCAACACCCTATATATGTTTTCGTTTATTTACACAGGGTAATTCAATTGCAAATCGCCGATTCTCACATTATTTAAATGAAACATCCTGTATTTTTGTCAACTAGATCTGATTTTTGGAAAAATTTTGGAAATTGGATTCGCATTTTCCACGGTCATTGAAGTTATCCCAAAATGGAGCTTAGATTCATAGCTTAGGTACGCTTATTTTTCTATTTTTGTCACTTTTTCCACAATAAAGGCATTTTAAATATTTTTGTATTTTGAATATTCAGTTACACTGAATTTTCGATTAAATAGTTACTTTTTCGGTCCTAATTTCGAAAAAATTAAAATACGGATATTTGTAAGATTTTTTTGAAAACAATTTTGAAAATTATATTCTTGTTCTTCGCGGATATTTGAAGAGTTTCCAGAAACGCTTTTATATTTATAATTTATATTTAATATTTTAACACTTTTTGTTTGTTGTTGAAAAAATAACGGCAATTTTGCAACCTGACTTAAATTTTCCAAGTGATTCGAAAATTGGGGAATCGACCATTCGAACAATCCAAAAAATGAAAAACTGAGAATTCGGAAAATCGAAACATCAAACTAAAAATTGACAAATTGACAAATCGAGAATTTGGAAAATCGGGAAATTGGGAATCAAAAATGGAATATATCTAAAAATTGAGGAATCGAACAATTAAAAAACCAAAACTAAAAATTTGAAAATTGAAACACCGAAAAATGGAAAAATCCAGAAATCGATAATTCATACAGTAATAAAAAACGAAAAATCGAGAATTTAAAAAATCGGAAATTGAAAACGAAAAATCAAGAATTGAGAACTCGAAAAACCGAAAAATAAAAATAGAAATTAAAAAAATCGAAAGAATGAGAAACTGAAAATCGAGAAGTCGAAAAATTGAGAATCAAAAAATGGAGAAATTGAGAAATAGAGAAATGGAAATCAATTGAAATTGAAAAATGAGACTGTCAAAAAACGAAAAATTGAGAATTGGAAAAATGGAAAAATCATATTGAAAATTCGAAAAATGGAAAAACTGAAAAAATGAAAAATCAAAATTTCGAAAATTAGAACAATCCAAAAATGAAAAACTTCGAAAAATCGAAAAATAGAAAAATGCAGAATCAAAAATGGAGAAATTTGAAATCGCGAAATTGAGAACTCGGAAAATAAAGAAATTGAACATAAAAAATTGAGAAATAAAAAAATGGGGTAATCAAAATTCGAAATATCGAAAGTCGAATAATTTTACTTATTATGAAAACGAAAAATCAAGAATTGGAAAAATCGGAAAAACAAAACGAAAAAGCAAGAATTGAGAACTCGATAAACCGAAAAATCGGAAAATTAAAATATCGAAAATCGAAAAAATGTTTCTTTTTTGGTTAAAAATCTTGACAATTAAATTCTCATTTTTCTCGGTTTTTTGACAGTCTATCGTAAAAGCAACTTCAGTTTCATGATCTACCTAGAATTCTTTCTATGATCTTGTTTTTCCGCTTAAATTCGACTATTTTTTAAATCTTTTGAAAAAATTTTGAAAAATAGGTTCTCGTTTTTCGGGCTTATTTGAAGAGTTATCCCAAAAAGAATTTTATATTAACAATTTACTTACTTTTTGGATTTTTGGAAAAAATTTTGAAAATTAAATTCTCGTTTTTCGCAGGTACTGAAAGATTTATTCCAAAAAGAACTTGATATTCATAATTCAAGTAAAATTTACTGTATTTTGTCACTTTTTTGAAAAAAAAAAAGTTTTAACATTTTTTGGAATTCGGATTTTTTTCGATCTGAATATTTTTTTGGAAAAACGCCAACCGATTCTGTTTTTTTTTTTCAGATTCATAATTTACGTCGAACTATTTATATGATCTTGCTTTTTCCGTTTAAATAAAGCCATTTTTTAGATTTTTTTTCAAATTTTGAAAATTGGATTTTCATTTTTCGGGGTTATTTGAAGAGTTATCCCAAAAAGAATTTTATATTGATAATTTAGAAAAAAAATCTCTATATTCACACCTTTTTAACCATAATGAAGGCGTTTCTAATATTTTTTTTTGATTTGTTTTTTTTAACTAGTTACCCTTTATCGAAAAAAAAAGGTTGTCAATTAGACCCTCATTTTTCTCGGCTATTCCAAAGTCTATCTAAAAAGCAGATTCAGATTCATAATTTAACTGGAATTCGTTGTATGATTCTTCTTTTTCCATCCAAATAATGGCTATTTTTAGAATTTTTTGAAAAATTTTTGAAAATTAAATTCTCTTTTTTCGCAATTACTTGAAGACTTATCCTAAAAACGACTTTATTTTCATAATTTAAGCAAAATTTACTGTATTTTGTCACATTTTTGAAAAAAAAACTACGTTTTTAACATTTTTTGAATTCGGATTTTTTTTAGAAATGAATAGAGCCACTTAATTTTTTTTAATAATCTTCATATTCTACATCGAATGCTTCGTATAATACTGCATTTTCCACCCAATTAAAATCATTTTTAATTTTTTTTGAAAAATTTTTGGAAATTATATTCTCGTTTTTCGCAGATACTTGAACACTTATCCCAAAAAGAACTTTATATTCATAATTTAAATCGAATTTCCAGGAATTTCTCACCTTTTTGCCAGAAAAGAACAATTTTTAACATTTTTTTGATTTCGGATTTTTTCGATCTGAATATTTTTTTGGAAAAACGTCAACCAATTTTGTTTTTTGCAGATTCATAATTTACGTCGAACTCTTTCTGTGATCTTACTTTTTCCGCTTAAATAAAAGCATTTCTTAGATTTTTTTGAAAAAATTTTGATAATAATAATTTTTCATAATTTAACTGGAATTCTTTGTATACTTCTTTTTCCACCCAAATTATGGCCATTTTTAAAATTTTTTGAAAAATTTTTGAAAATGAAATTCTTGTTTCTAGCAATTACTGGAAGACTTTTCCTAAAAAAGACTTTATTTTCATAATTTAAGTGAAATTTACCGTTTTGTCACCTTTTTGAAAAAAAAAAAACAATATTTTTAACATTTTTTTATTCGGATTTTTTTTCGATCTGAATAGAGCCACTTAATTTTTTTTTAATAATCTTCATAAATGTATATCGAATGCTTCGTGTAATACTGCATTTTTCACCCAAATAAAACCATTTTTAGAATGCTTTGAAATTTTTTTTTAAATTATATTCTCCTTTTTCGCAGATACTTGAACACTTATACCAAAAAGAACTTTATATTCATAATTTAAATCGAATTTCCAGGATTTTCTCACCTTTCTGCCAGAAAAAAAACAATTTTTAACATTTTTTTGATTTCGGATTTTTTTCGATTTGAATAATTTTTTGGAAAAACGTCAACCAATTCTATTTTTTGCAGATTCATAATTTACGTCGAACTCTTTCTATGATCTTGCTTTTTCCGCTTAAATAAAAGCATTTTTTAGATTTTTTTGAAAAAATTTTAAAAATTAGATTTTCGTTTTTCGGGGTTATTTGAAGAGTTATCCCGAAAAGAATTTTGTATTGATAATTTAGACAAAATTTTCTCTATTTTGACACTTTTTTACCAGAATGAAGGCGTTTTTAATATTATTTTTGAATTTGTTTTTTTTAACTAGTTTCCCTTTTTAAAAAAAAAATTGTCAATTAGATCCTCATTTTTTCCGGTTATTGAAAGGTCTATCCAAAAAACAGATTCAGATTCATAATTTAACTGGAATTGTTTGTATGATACTTCTTTTTCCACCCAAATTATGGCCCTTTTAAGAATTCTTTGAAAAATTTTTGAAAATTAAATTCTCGTTTTTTGCAGTTACTTGTCGACTTATCGTAAGAAGGACTTATTTTCATAATTTACTGTGTTTTATCATCTTTTTTGGAATACAAAAAAAAACACATTTTAGAACATTTTTTGAATTCGGGTTTTTTTCGATCTTAAATTTTGTTTTTTTAGGGCTACTTTGAGATCTAGCCTAAAAGCAGCTTCATTTTCATAATTCACGTGGAATTCTTCATATAATACTGCATTTTGGTCAAAAATAAAACAATTTTTAAAATTTTTTGAAAAATTTTTGAAAATTATATTCTCGTTTTTCGCAGATACGTGAACACTTATTCCAAAAGGGACATTATATTCATAATTAAAGCATAATTTCCTGTATTTAATCACTTTTTTTGTCAGAAAAAGACAATTTTAAACATTTTTTTCTTTCGGAATCTTTTTTGGAAAAATATCCACCGATTCTGGTTTTTCCGAGCTATTTTGAGATCGAGCC